GCAGCAATGGCTCAGTGCTGTTGCGCGCTCGCCGGACGCACCACCGTGACTCCGTTGCGCCCCTGCCGAGAGGCCGACTTGTCCTCCGCGAGGCCGCCATTTACAAGAGGCGGCGAAAGCAAAAGACTCTCTCTCTCTCTTACACCCCTCACCCACACAACCGCGACACAAAAGGAAGAAATAGCTAAATAATAAAAACGAAAAGGGGCTCTGTAGTGTTTATGCCGGAAAGGAAGACAACACCGGCAAAAGAACTCGCTTTTACATCAGCGCATGTGTGACGTAAAAAAAAAATCCAAGCCGCAAGTATATATGCAATTCTGTACACCACAGTGATCAGTTATTTGTGTGCCCACGGCACAGGACACATGCGCCTAATAACAGGCTTCGTCCAAGTCCTTCGACACACGACGGCAAGGAGGGAAGCTGCCCCGCCCACGCCCAACCTCTCCCTGTCTCTATCACTCTGCTCCTTCCTTCCTTCACTCCCGCATGATTAGCGTGCTCCTGTAGTCGAAAATGGGCGGCGCCAAGTTAAACATGTGAATCTGGCGCCAGAGTTGTGCGAGTAGCCAGCGCCCGCCGGCGCCGCTGACGTCAATCACCAGCTTGCGCATGCCTGGTGCGCCTCTGGGAGGCACGGCGCCCCGCCGCCCCTTCTCCCTCCGACTGTCCGCCCCACCCACTCCTCCTCCTTCTTCTTTCGCTTCCCCGTCGTGCGGACGCGCCTGTACTTCATCCAACGCCGCCGCGGCGCTGCGCAGCACAGCCCAGGCAATCTCGAACTCTTCGGGGTCGCGGGAAGCCTTCATGGGGGGCGGATGCGAGGCAGCGGAGGCCGCCATCGTTGAATCGCACGACGCCAGTTCACCGGACCCTGCTGCCGGAAGCGACAGGGCCGCGGGTCGCTCCTGCGCCTCGCTCAGCGCAACGCGGACGGCGGCAGCGATGCGGTGAAGTTCGTTAAACTCCCCGCAGTGGGAGAGTTGAAGCGCAAACTCCCGCAGCGCCGCGGGCGCGGCGCCGGAGGCGGTTGTCTTGGGAGGCGCGGCCTCTCCCGCCCCGCCCCGCGGGGCCGTGAAGGGGTTAGCCAGCGACAGGGAGTCCTCCAAGACGACGTCGTTGCTCTCGGTCGCAGGCGCCGCACCCACGCCAGGCTCCCCAGCCGCCGTGGAGGTCAGCCGCGCGAGCGCGAAGAGGCTCTCCCCCACAGCCAGCGACCACAAGAGCGCAACGAGCTCCGTCCCCTCCATCGCCCCTACACGGCGGGCGGCGGAGCACCACGAGCCATCCGTTTCCTGCGCAGGGCCAATGGCGGATCGAATCGTCTCCAGCAGCAGCCGTATCATCTGCAGACAGGCCCGCTGCGCCTCCTTGCCACCCAAGCGCAGCACCCGGGGCGAACTCAGGTGGGCAAGGCTACTCACCAACTCCACCGCCACGTGTTCGTTGAGGACGCGGCGCCGCAGGCACACGCTTGACGCCAGGGTGTTCTGAGTGAAGGCCGTCTGCAGCGTGCAGAGAACCTCCACCGCAGAGCTGTACAAGGGCCGGAACCAGCGCGGGGATGCAGGGGAGAGGACGTAGCACATGGCCAGCACAAGCAGGTTCCCATAGGTGTGAACGCAGAGTGTGTCCAGCCCTTTTCCCCCGTCGCAGCTGCCTTCTCTGTCATCGCCAGCGGCTATCCGAATACTTTGCGGCAGCATCGGCATGGCGGCTCGAAGCACGCGCATAAATTGCCGCACCTCCGTCGCGGTCGCACCCGCGGCGAGTGATGGCAGCGGCGTGGCAAGGGTCTCCAGGAACGACGGCTGCCGCAGCAGAATGAGAAGGCAGAGCAGCGAGAGCTGCCCCTCACCAAAGCGGCTAGCCGAGACCCCACTCGACACAAGCAAACTGTGCAGCAATGCCATGAAGGAATGCGGTCGGCGCGCAAGAATGTCAAGGGCAAGCGAGCTCTGCTGCACCGCCCAGAGCAGCAAATGCAACACCAGTGGTGCACAAGGGATTTTCACCATCGCGGCATCCCCCGCCGAGGCCGTCAACGGGTTCTCTAGCAAGGTTAGCATTCCCTCCACAAGAGCCCGGGCATAACATGACGGGTCCAGCTCGTCGCTTCTTGATTGAGCTGGTAACAGGATGCTCGAGTCCTGCGACGTCGCCTTGGCGCCGTCAACAGGGACGTGTGGCTCAGCGTCGCCCAGTGCGGCCTTCAAGAGACTGAAAAACACATTTGACGCACGCTCCTCGGGTGGGCCTTGTAGTTGTGGGTCGCAGCATGGAAGGGTTGGCCCGCTGTAAACGCCCATGGCAAGGATTGCAAGTGCGTGCCCCAGCACGGCCACTTGCGTCGCCGAGAAGCGTGACCCCCTCGAGAAGACGGCGGTGAGACGGGGAGTCAGCAGGGACTTCTTGGCATAAAACCGTACCGCGTACAGCAGTGCTGCACACAGTAGAGCCGCTAAGGGCTGCTTCTCTCCATTGAACAATTCATTGGACATCAGCGCAATCGTCGCCTCGCGTCGCTGCTTTGAGCAACTGCGTTTTCCCGCCTCCGCCCCCGCTGCCGTCGCCGGGGCCGCTTCTGCAGCGGAGGTGTAGATGGGCCCGGAGAGCAGCAGGAGAAGCGTGCGGAGAATGATGGCGTGGTAATCGCTACCCAGCGAAAGCGCTGGCGCCGCACGTGAGCAGCTGCCCCCCAGCAACACGCTGTTGCTGCCGCCGCTGTCGTTTTGGGTGTTGGCCAAACGGCCCTGGACGCCGCCCGGTGCTGCACCGCGCAGAAGGCTGAGGAGGAGGGCGGGCGGCACGCATCCGCGGCGGAGCAGCAGCTGCAACTCCGCGTTGACAGCCGCCTCCGCGATGGCGCGCGGGTCTTGCCGCGGCTGCGTCTCCCGGCACGGTGCGGCGGCCGTCATGACGCCGGGCATGAAGAGCAGCTTCAGAAGCAGCTGCACGAGTTGCGTGCCCGGCGGGGGCGAAAGCGAGGGCGGGCAGTCCTCCGCCAAAACGCAGGCGTCGCCGCGGAAGAAGAAGTGGTAGGCGAAGTCCGCGGCGAAGGGGCTCTCCGTCCGATTCGCCACGTCCATCAGCTCTCGCGTGCGCTGCGAGATGATGGCGATGTTGCGCTCGCCGCTCGCCGCCGCGTCCTCGCGCAGCAGCGCCGTCAGCTCGTCGATGTCCTCAAGGCAGTAGGGGAGGGCCCCGCCGATCAGCCGCAGGGCGTTGGCGGCGGCGCAGGGGTCAAGCGGCCGCCCCGCCCTCCGCCCCCCGCCTCCCCGCGGCGGCGGCGGCGGCGGCCGCGGCTGCATGTAACTCAGCGTCCCCTCCACCCTGACGGCGGCGACGTCCCCGTCGATGGGGCTCCCCGCCGCATCCTCCGCAGCCGCCCCGCAGCTCAGCGCGAGGAACGCATCCAGCTGCTGCATGCAGGCGGCAAGAATCGCGGCAAGCCGGTCTGGGTGATACACGCGCAGTAGCCGCACATCCTCCGCGGTCCAGAAGGAGGCAAGCTGCTCGTCGCTAAGCCCAGTGCAAAAGAGAGTGCGCCAAAAAATATCCAGGTCACCGGCGTCGCCTGAAAGCGGGTGCTGCTTGTAGTGAAGCAAAACAACGGCCCGGCGAAAGGCATACACGTCGCTCATAGTGTTCCCCATCCCTTCTCGACGGTGCCCTCTCCCGGCAGTTGCCTCTCGCTCGTTCCCTGTACTGACTTACTTCCTGCTGCTAGCCGCTTCGTTGCCGCTGTTGCTGCCGTGCCTCGTGCCTCCTCCCCCTTCCGTCGTCGTCGGCCTCCAACCCTCTTCGGCGATCGCCCGAAGAAGAAGCAATTCTACACAACCACGCACAGGAAAGAGGAAAAAAACAGAAGAAGAAGAAGAAAAAGAAAACGTTAGAAAGAAAAGGCGCCAAGTTCGGTGGCGATCAACTGAGCCTCGCACGACGGACACGCCCCACAGGCGTGAGGAAAACAACCCCCCTCCCCCGTTCTTCACCGCACCGCACATGACGGACGGCACCTCACACACATCGCAGCGGGGGCATGCTCGCCGGGCACCCTCGCCGCCGTGTACCGGATCTTTCCCCCACGTCACACCTGCAATTTGGCCTACGGGTATCGTGAAAGGCGGCGCAGGCTCTAGTAAAGGGGATGCGCGCGGGGCGCCTCCTTGTCGTTGCCTCCCTCCCTCTGCCGCTCGCTGCGTCCTTCGTGGCTCACCCCCTGGGAGCCCGCCTTCCTCCCACCTCCCACCTTGTCACTTGACGCGTGCGTCCGTCAACGTCCAGCGGAAAGGAGAGAAAGAGAGAGAGAGAAAGAGCGAGGGCGACGAAAAAAAAGATGAGAAGGAAAGAGAGAGACAGGTATATTTGTTTCGACACACACAGACAGAGAGAGAGATAGACGTATGCATGTGTGTGTTTATGTGTAGATATACACCACACTTCCACGCGCCCGCGTGGAGGAAGAGTAGCAGAAGCACTAGGAATAAATAGAGAAATCTCTTTTTCGTGTTGCATGACGCTTGTTTCTTCTCGTGATTCCGGCGGTGTCGTAAAATAGGGAGAGAAACACACACACACACACAAAGAAAAAATCAAGCAGCCAACGCAAGGCCCTCACACCAGCAAAGAAAAAAAAACAACAGCGTCCAGACACGCCACTGACGACTGACTGCCCCGCCCCGTTGCCGCTGCGAGGCTAATAGACACACAACCCGCACACCTTCCCCGCGGACTGGGGGGGGGGCGCCGCAAACGTCTGCAGGCACTTCACATTGTCTTCACATAAGAGGGGGAAAAAAAAGAGGGCGGGGGAGAGAGGGACGCAGGGAACAAAATACACACACATACACACAAACACGCATCCACGACGGTGATGCAAGCGTGTGTGTGTATGTGTGTGTGTGTGTGTGTGCTTCTGCCTGCGTGGACTGCCGCTGCTGGTGGTGTGTGTGTGTATATATATATTTCTTCTTCACACACGCAGCCACGTCCTTGTCAGGAAAACCTTTCGCATTAATTTGTGAGGCAAAACACCAAGGCAAGACAAAAGTCACACACACACACAGAGAAACATATAACCAGTTAAACAGGAGAATACACATAATTATACGTCCTTGCCGACTGGGCCCGCTTTGTGGGGGATGTGACAAGCCGGCAGCCTTCGCCGCCCCGCAACCGCCGAGCCTTTCCGCGTGAGGACTAGCAGTAGTAATACTAAGGGCAAAAAAAAAGAATAATTAGACATAGGCATATATGTATAAAGGTCAAGACAACCGCAGTCACGCTGTTCCCCACGGTTGCAGCGTTCCCGCGCGGAGAAAAAGGTGAGCAATGCAGAAAGGAGGGATGCTCAACACGCCGCCGCCTCTTTGCTGATGCGTATGAACACCTGTTCGATGGAGGTCTGTGAAACGCCGTAGTCGGTGATGCCGGCCTTGGCCTTGTTTCGCTGCAGCGCCTTAAAGACACCGCAAAGGGATGTGTCCTTCGGCAGGGCGTACACGAAACGGTGATTGCGGTACTCGTTGAGGACGGCATCCGGGAAGCAGGCCTCCACGAGGTGCACCACCATCGGCCGGAAGGAGTCGTCGCGGATGCGGAGGGACATCTCCACCCCGGTGCCGAACTTATTCTTCAGGCGCGTCTGGTTGCCTATGCAGCGAAGCGAGCCATCCACCATGATGGCGACGCAGTTGGCCAGCTCCTCCACCTCGTCCAGGTGGTGCGTCGTGAGCAGCACGGAGCAACTCCTGGCGATGGCCCTGATCGAGTTCCACACACGGCGCCGCGCAGCCGGGTCCATGCCCGCCGTGGGCTCGTCCAGCATCACCACCTGCGGGCCGCCCACCAGCGCCAGCGCAAGGCTCAGCTTACGGCGGTTGCCGCCGCTCAGCTGGTGGGCGCGGGTCTCACGGTACTCCTCCACCCCGCAGAGCCGCATCAGGGCCTCCACCACCTCCGCGTGCTGCGGCTCCACGATCCCCCGCACCGCCGCGTACAACCGCAGGTGCTCCTCCACCGTGAGAAGGTCAAGGCAGGCGTCAAACTGTGGACAGTAGCCAACGCAGGCTCTGGCCGCATTGCTCTCTTCCACAACGTCGTGGCCGCAGATGAAGGCGCGCCCAGCCGTAGGCACCGCACCCTGACACAGAATGGACATGGTAGTGGTCTTACCAGCCCCGTTTGTGCCGAGAAAGGCAAACACCTCCCCTCTCACTACGCCAAAGGTGATGTCCTTGACCGCCACCTTGCCGTTGCCGTACACCTTGCGCAAGTTAATCACATCCACGGCATCCCCGACCAATTCGCTTCTGCTCACCTGATTGTTGATGTATTCCCGTTCATCCTCCACATCACTGTCCTCGTGCGCCTCGGGCACACTTCTGGCGTCAGGGTGGTAGGAGCGTTTCTGCATTCTAAGCCGAAATCGAGGGTGGTCCATGACAAGCATAAACACGAAAAAAATGGGGAACTCACACGCCATGTAGAGCGAGGCCCAGCCCGCCGCCTCCATGCTCCACGCCGTGAGGGTGGGTTTCACCTGCTGGCGCTGCTTCAGCGTGAGGAGGTTGATGATGCCCTCCCCCACGGCGTAGGTCGGCATGAGACGGAACGGCCAGCGCAACCCATCGGAGAGGCCCCACGTCGTGTCAATGAGACTCAGCATATATACAATTACCAGAAAGAGAAACCCCACGACGAAGCCGGCGATCATAGTCACCGTTTGTGCAACGATGTGCGACTTAAAGAATAGGTGGAGGAAGTACGCCATGGCCGTCCCAGCAAAGCCGTAGGTGAGCAAAAGCAGCATGGTGGGGCCGATGGTGTCGGAGCCAACAAACGCCTTCTTTCCAAAGATTAAAAATATAATGAGGGCCAATGCAACGGTCAGCAGGTAGGCAACCATGTCGAAAAGGAGGTTCACCCCCCAGTACACTGAGTAGCGTAACCCTGCAAGGTATTGGAGGTGCCTTGCTCCACACTCACGCTCCTTCACCACCCAGGCGATGCAGTTCGCGGGCAACAATGTGAAAGGGATCAGGATAACGAAACCCTTGAAGATCGTCTGAACGGCAGTCGTCACGTAAATAATGTGTTCGGTGGAGGCGTAGGCCATGGTGGTGCGCAGCACCCCGGAAGCACTCGCCGCACTTTGCATAACCAGCGTGTATAATGTACTCAACGCGATGGCGGCCTCGTGCGGGGCGGAGGTGTTGTAGAAGATCACAATGGGGATGGTTCCCAGCTGTCTGGTGTACTGCGGGTCGCGGCAGCTAAAGGAGCTCAGGTGCGGCAGCGGGTGCCGCAGAAAGTTGTCCACGTGGTACCAGGAAAGATTCAAGGAGTTCAGCATATTGCGGTCGGTGAAGTGCACCTGCTGTGCTGCGCCCGGCGAAGTGTAGTTTGCGGCGGTAAAGTACGGCGAACACCGCACCGTGTCGCTCATGGTGTCAAATGGGTACACCGAGGGGCTTAGCTCCACCGCCGTCGGCGCCTCCACAGGGATGGAGTCAAGCACCATCGCCAAGAGTATGCAGGCGGCGGGGCAAATAATTTGAAAGCTCAGCAGCCACCAATCCCGCACCGCACACAGCACCCGCTTCTTCAGCAAGGCCCAAAACTGCATCCGGGCGGCCTCGCCGCACCGCGACACCCGGGCACAGTCCCAGAGAATGTCCGCCGCCGTGTCGCCCAAGGCGAAGTTCGCCTCATCATTCGCCACAACGTGCAGGAAAACGTCCTCCAGCGTCATGGCAGAGAGGGCGTAGTTTTTGACGCCGACGTCACGCGAGACTGACTCTAGGCGCTCCAGTAGCAGGACAAGACGGTTCATGTGTCCCGCTGGTATGCGGCACTTCCACTCGGTGGGGCCTGATAAAATGATGTACGCGTCCGGGACGTAGCCGGCGACGAAGGCGCCGAGGGCGGTCCGGTCGGCGTCGGGGGTAAGCCCGAGTTGGAGGTTGTAGTCGGCCGCCAACCTCGACTTTAGGAAGAGGCTGCTGCCGCAGCACTTCAGTGCGCCGTAGCTCATGATGGCGACCTGATCGCCGAGAATCTCCGCCTCGTCGAGAAAGTGCGTCGTGAGCAAAATAGTGTGTGTGGAGGACATGCGACGCAGCAGTTCCCAGGTGTTACGGCGCGCCGCCACGTCCATGCCAGCGGTGGGCTCGTCCAGCAGCACCAAACGGCCTCCCCCCACAAACGCCGCCGCCACACTCAACTTGCGCTTCTGCCCCCCACTTAGCGCAGACGCCTTGCAGTCTAGTTTGTCGCACAACCCAACCTCAGACGACGTCCTCACCACGGCATCTTCCAAGTCCCTGCCCATGAGACCCTTGATGCGGGCAAAAAACTCGAGGTGCTCGCGACAGGTGAGATCCGGCCAGAGAATATTGTGTTGTGGGCAGAGGGCGAGGTTCTGGCGCACCTGCGAGAGTTGCTGGCGCACGGAGAGCCCAAAGACAAGGCAGTCCCCCGCATCCGGGCGTGTCATGCCTGTTATCATGTTTATTGTCGTCGACTTGCCCGCGCCATTTTGGCCAAGCAGGACGAAGATGCCATTCTCCGGCATCTTCAGGTAGAGGTTGTTGACGGCGAGAAAGGAGAGTCGACCGCGCTTGTACTCCCGACGCAGCCCCATTATCTCCACGGCGTACCGCACGGAGGCCCCCATCTCCTCGTAGGTGCCGTTCGGGTCCCGTCCATCGGCGCCACCCGCGTCACACTGCCGAGCACGGCCCCAGCAGCGTCTGCAGGGGTCAAGAAGAAAAAACAGCGGGTGCTTTGGGGTGCCATGGCCGAGCGGCATCACCGCCTCTAGGTACAGCATCAGCAGCAGGTAGAGGAAGAAGTCCAGTGTGGTGATGCCAAGGACAAGCGACAGGTTGGGGCTGTCGAGGGCGGAGTTGAAGTCGCTCAGCGCCAACCCACCCGCGAGCTCGTGGCGGAAGAGGATCCCCAGCGCAAGGGAGAACGACGTTGGTGGGAGGAGGCAGAAGACCGTTTTGGCCGTGGCACCGGCCAGCTGAAGTCCCACCGGCGGCGCGGAGGCGGCAAAGTACACAAGCGGCACCATCATCGTCGCGAAGCGCGACTTGCCGAAGAACGCCGAAACAAATCCGGCAAAGGGGATCATCGTGAGATAGTTGACAATGAAGATCAGGAAGACGGTGGCGTACTCCGTTCGTCGCAGGTAGGGCCGGACGATGGCCACACTCAGGACGGCCACCAAAAACATGGTGGCCACGGTGAGCAGGAACCACGAGATGTCCATGGTGGACGTGCGCAGCCCCATAATCTTCATGTTTTCCCGAATCCGCAGCTCCTTCTCCACTACGCGGCGCCGCGCCAGCAGCGTGACAGGGTAGAGGAGCGATGAGACAATCGCAAGCGACACCAACGGCCCTGATTCACGAATCAACTTCGGGGCGGAGTAGTCTATGTGCCCCATGGAGATCAAGTACGGCGTGAAGTGGCGCTTGCCAAGCGGAAGACGTTTAAAGTGCATCAGGTAAAAGTCGTACAGCATCCGCTGGAGCGTGAGAAACCCAGAGACAATGTACATATCGGCGGTGCCTGGCCAGACACCGCCGGAGTAGTCAAGCTGAATGACGGTCCTGGGCGCCGGAATCGCCTTCTGATCCATCCGTATCTCAACATCAAACGCGTCCGCAGTCATGGCTTTGATGTTGATCACCGCGAAGACGCCGCCGCGGGAGATGCGGCCCTGCAACTCCGTCACGCTGTCAAAACTTCCTGCGTAGACAAGGTTGAAGTACTTCGACAAGGATTTAAAGTAAGTCAGAAGCGGCGGAGGGACGTTGGCGGCGGGGCCGATGTACAGGGGCCCCGTCACCATCAGAGCCGAAAAGCGGTCCACGAAGTCGATGCCGGCATTCCGGTACGCCGCAGCATCCAGCATCGGCCGTGCGCGGTGCTTGGCGGCAGCCCAGTGCAGCAGCAAGACATCGTCCAGACTCGGAATTACATTGAGAAGCGCAACGGAGGCGACAGCAAAGCGAAAGAAGGGCGGCTCCAGGACGTCGGCGCATAACCCCCTCACGGGGAGCTGCGCTTCGTCGCCGCTGCAGTCGAAAGAAAATTTCGCCAGGCTACATGGCTGTAGTCCGGGAATGTAATTTTGCTTTCCGTCTGGGCCGAGCATAGAGTCATTGTAGCAGAACCCGGAGCTGTAGTCGAACACGCCGGAGTTGGGCGACGGGCCGGTGTAGTTGACAAAGTCCGCCGCAGTGTCGTGCATGTCCCCAAAGTACGACCAGAGCAGCGTGGTGCAGGCGACGCAGATGAGCGGCACAAATATTTCAAACAGAACTTCCTTCCACGCCCGCTTGCGCTCCGTCGCCTCGCGGTGGATACCCGCGAAGAGCTGCGTCAGAAAGCGGGGTGCCTCGCCACGTGCCGCGAGTCCGCTTGTCAACGAGCTGCGCTTCGAGCTCTGACCGGAGGAAACGTGGGCCTCAACGCGGGCTATGGCCGGGTACTGCGGGATATCAGCAAACTCCTCTGCGTACATGAGCGCTGGACGGGCACCCTATACCGCCTCTCCCCCTCTCTCTGAGGGCGTTTATAAATACAACTGCCTAAAATGGCGCTCTCTCCCTACAATTACTTACTGTGTCTGGTCACGGACCATCCATTATTATTATTATTGGATCGAGGCGGCAAAAGCGCAGGGTGGAGTGGAAAAAAGGGAAAAAGCGGCACATGAACAAGGCGGAGGAAGCGTCAGACAACGCACATAGCACACCACCCCATCTACACCTACATCGGGGTTGTGTGCGACGCAGTCACTGAGCCCTCGCCCATGAGGTCTGCGCATCTATGTGTCTCTCGTGTGATGCACGGCGTCAGCAGCTACGTCGAGTGGTCAGTGGGGGGGAGGCAACTGCGACGCGGAACCGCCCGCTCGCGGCGGCGGCGGCGGCGGCGGCGGCGGCTGTTGTTGTTGTTGTTGTTGTGTCCAGCGGCCGTAGTAGTGCTGCTGCTGCTGCTGCCGCTGGTGTTGCTCGTAGAGGTCCCTCTCCAGAAATGACCCACCGCCGTAGTGAGGCCTGCCGTATTCCTGCCGCAGCGCCCGCTCCGCCGCCTCGAGCTCCGCCACGTCCTCCGGCGTCCCGATGTCCAGGCGCGTGCCGTGGCGGTTCAGCATGTCTCCTCCCACCACCACTACTCCCCCCAACAGAGACAGACAGAGAAAGGCTACAGAATGCAATGCAGTCAGCAGCGAGAGAAGGGAGAACGTGGCACCGGCGCCGCTTCTTCGGCCCGTTGGTTTACGCACGCCGCACCGCTCAGGCATGCGGGCGCCTCTTCCCACTCAACTCCTCCTCCCCCCCCCCTGTCAGCTACAAGAGACGAACAGCCAGGATCAAGAAAACCAACAAACAAAGGGAAACACGTAATCAAACAATCCGGACCTTCCACTACACACAGGTTCCTCTTCTACCATGCTCTTCTGTGACACCTTTTTTTTTTCTTTTTTATTGCTCCCTTTCGTTCTCTCTTCCTCGTTTTCGCTGCTGCTTTCCAGGCCTCATCTTCCTCCTCGTCGCGCTCTAGAACTCTGGTGTGACACTGCCGCCACCACTACCATTGTTTCCTGCACCATGGCCACGGCGCGTTTCGGCAGCCACCTGCGACCCGTCAGGGTGCAAGGTTCCTTCCTTCGTTGCCCTTCCACTTCTCAGTTCCGCCGCAGGCGCCCCGCGCTGGTGCTTGCTGCCGCCGCCGCCAAGCAGCTCACTTGTGACGGAGTGGTGCAGGATGCGTGCCGGCGGAGCCACGACGCTGCCAGGTAGCGCCCGCGCCTGCTGCCGCTGCGCATGAATCGCCTGGAAATCCTCCTTCGCCGAGACCTCTGTGTGAATGGGCTGCAGTGCCAGGAAGCGGGACTGCAGCGTCTCCCCCGGGTGCCGGCAGGTCTCCGCCACGAAGCGGGAGTGTTCGCCGTGGTGGAAGGTGTAGCCCTCCTCGCGCGCAAGCAGCCGCGGGGGCCCGTCCGGCCGTGTCACGGGGGTTTGCCACGCGACACGCACATTCGCATTCGTGTTGAGCGACAGCGGCCTTGACTTGCGCATGTACGTCAGCGGCGCCTCCTCCATCGCGTGGCTCCGCCTGCTAAGCAGCTCAATCCACGCCGCGGCACGTGCCAGATACTGCGAGCGATCCTTCGCCATCAAATCCTTCGCGTGGCGAAACCGGGCCCACCGCAGCACACTCGCAATGTCGACATCGCCAAAGTTCTCCTGCATCCACGACAACGCGTCCTGCTGCGCGGCGTCCATGGCGGTGAGTGGACCGTGCGCGGACCACACAGACCCCGCCGCCGCGGCGTGCTCAGTCGTGTTAATCGTACCGTTATTACTCCGCTCATTGCTGCGTAGGACCTCAACTTGGCGCTGCTGAAGCTCACGCGCCACCTCGGGCGCCACGGCGGCGGCGTCCTTCACCAGCGACGTCGCGCGCGCCACCTCCTCGCTGAGTGCCACGGCTTTTCCCTTCGCGAGCGCCTCTCGCATGTGGAGACCGACACGCACGTGCACATCGCACTGCAAGAGATCCTCGTCAACGAGGTAGCTATACACCGCCGCGGCCTCCTCCGCGCAGTTGTGGTCCAGCAGGTACTCAAGCGCAAGCAGGGCAATGCGGTAGCGCCAGATGGGGTCGATCTCCGCACGCACAACGACATTCTCGTAGTACCGCCCCCGCATGACGTTGTACACCCACATCACACGCACGCGGTGCTTTGCCTTGATGGCGCAGCGCATCACGTTGTGCAGCACCTCACCATCGCGGGCCACATAAAAGAGCTTTGCGTTGCCATCCTCAAAGATCGCCACCGCGTCCGCGATGAGTCCTGCTGGAATGCAGCAGGCCGTTAGCGCACGGTACACCTCGACCGGTGGGATCGTCGTGACGCGGCGGTACTCCTCACATGCCGCTTTGAGGTGGCCGCGTTGGGCGAGGCGTACAATCTTGCGCATCAGCGGGGCCTCGTGGGCGGCGGCGGGGACGGTGCCGTCGCGGTTAAGTTTCACTGACCGCCGGAAGTAGTGATCCTCCTGAAAGAATGGCCCACGTCGCAGCCAGCGATAGATGCGTCCACGGCAGTCAAGCGTGGCGGCGTTGAGCCCCACGCGGTTCGGGTCCTCGACGGTGACGTTGTCGTGGTCCACCACGGCCGGCTTGTCTAGGCGGCCAATGTGCGGGTCGTACGAGTGCAGCATGTCGTGCGTGACGCGGTGGCCGTTTCGGGCGCTCATCAGCGAGACCGGCGTCACGAGGGCCTTGGGCCCGATGCTGATGTCCGGCATGTACTGCTCCAGCTCGTGCTTCGGGATCATAGTCACGGTGTTGTCCTCCAGCACGTGCGTCTTCTCCGTGTGGTAGCCGCTGTTGTAGTTGCCCGGGCCGTTCCGGTAGCGGCCGCGGCCCCACAGCACGGCAAGATCGTTCGCCGTGAGGTTCTCGCGGCCGAAGCGGCTCGGCTGCCACGGCACCCGGGCACGCGGGATGTAGCGCAGGATGGAGGTGGCCGCCTCGTGGCCGATGCCGCGCCCTTTGCTGAAGATGCCCGTCACAGACATGCCGCGGGGACTTCAAGAAAGGCAGACAGACGCACACGCACACGCGGCCACGTTCCCCAAGTGGCGCCCCACGCCGACGCGCGCAGCAGCGGCTAAATGGGCCCCCGCAAGACAAATATATACCCCCCTCCCCCTCCCCTTCTCTGCGTCCTCAGCACGCAGCGCTGGCAAGGGCGTTGCTTGAAACGCATAAAAAGTTGAGCAAAAATAGTAACCACCACCACCACCACCAGCAGCAGCAGCAGCGGCGCAGGCAGCGGTGACGCAAGTCGACCCGCAGACAACCAACAAAAAAAAAGCACACACACTCACACTCAGGCACACAGACAGTATGCAGAGGCACGTACACGCGGCGTCATCGCCAAGAAGCCCCATCATTTTCTCTGCATGGGGTATGCCTGCGTGTTTGGACGGGGGAGAGAGAAAAGCGAAATAATAATTTAAAGAAAAAAAAACGCCTCACACACAGCGCTGCTTCGTTGGGCCACACTCCCCTTTAGAGGCCTTCTCGCTGGAAGCAACACGCCGCAAGGTGCTTTTCATATGTATTCTCCCCATTCCTCTGCAAGGGGAA